ACAGGTTAAAAGGCAATTAGTTGGTGGCCCGTCTCGAGAATCTTAGCTGGTCGTTGAACTTAGGGCACATGCATAGCCAAGTTTGCGCAAAGATCTGTCAAACCAAATCCTCTAAGTATAGTCTTTTTATAAGAAATTTCCTTGATAGAACTTCCTGTATAATTTTTTCCATAAAACTGCCTGATAACTTCGTTTTCAGCTAGCACAACTACCGTTTAGAAGTAAAGTTGCCTGTTTCGATGCGACGGTTCCTTCTGATAGCAGAGCTGTGTGGCACACATGGAATTCCGAATATAATAACTATCCCCTTAAAAACAGCCTTCTTAGGCAAAAAATATATCTTTAGGCACAGTCTTGCTATACAGAATTGGATAGGCAACAGAATAAGTAGTGTATATGAGAACCAGTTGCAATTCCTTAATTTTATCGTTTGTGCACTGAGTGACATAAATACGCTTCAAATTTGTCCTCACACCATATATGATGTCTCAGGCACTACAAAACATACCTTTAAGGTTCTTCTGGCCGATAATGTTCTTTGACCATTTAATGCCTCGTGTTACCAGATCCGTCGACACTTTCTGAGGTTCCGCGCTACCTGTTGAGGAGGCAGAATAGGCTGTTGTTAGTAAGCAATAGTTCTATATACTTACTAACCAGGACACTGTGTAGACTTCCCAAACACTTAGCTATTCTCTGAAAACTAAAGAAAGTAACGTGAAAGAAATGATGATGGAAAAAGTTTTCAACTTGAATATGGCAAAGTGTGTGGTCAACGGAGCGCTCTTCCACACTAGCTGGAAGGATGACCTCAAGTTGAATGGGGGATCTTCACCCAATCAATCCTGTTTTTGGCAAAACGCAGTCGATGAGCGCGAAATCTTGTATGCGAGCCCTATGCATTCCCCCGCTCGTAAAGGTTAACCGACTCTCACGCCGCGCGATTTAATCTCGCGAGAGCTCCAAATCTCATGGTCGATATATTTTCTCTCTATCCAGGATTGAACAGCGAGTTCCTAGTCGTCCGCCGCCCTGAGTGACTGAGCAGTTTTAATCTCCGCGGCTTGCTTGTGTGGCCTCGATGTTGACCTAGACTGCACTCACACAATGAGTAACCTTCCTATCTGACATAGACCAGAAGAAGTGAGTCCTCTAAAAGATCGTATTTGCCATTGCGTCACTTCTGGACTTATCCCGTTTTTGTACTCAAGCTGTTTGTGGAAAGGCAACCCAACTTACCGGAGGTCG